CTGAAAAAAAAACACATACACAAAAAACGATGCTTATTTTATTATGTTGAAGACTTCGCCTTAATTCTACGGTGTTTCTCACTAGGACTAGACTTATCCCCTCCCGATCTTCATCCTTCTCTTAGACGTATAATTTTAAAAAAAAACTTGTTTTTTAAACAAGCTTAAAAAGGCGAAAATTTCGTAAAAAGTGATCGGACATTCATTTGTGTTTGACTCTTTCTTCCTTCTTTCCAAACTTTGTCCGTCGTTGGCTGCATACTCTCTTCCATCACTCATTTTTACGAATGTCCTTTATATACTGATGGTCTCATTCATATGGATAACGAATGATAGAATTCTTTATGTATAATACGAAAAGAAGAACGAAAGAAAGAAAAGAAAGAGAAAAGACAAGTTTGTCGAGTTTATTATCCATCGTTAACATCGCTGACTGAAATAAATCGACAAAATTTATTTTTATTCTTTTGTCTTCTTAATAAAGACAGATGAATTTTAGTCTGATATAGAAGTGGTTATTGTGAAACGTGAATTTCAGGCTATTGGCCTTTAACGTTCTTCACAATATAAATCTTAGATACTAACAAAACATTTGGCAAATTCTGATACTATACTTGATTGAGCACGGCAATAATCTCATATACAATCACGAAATTTTCCATTCCATTCTGTCCAATCTGGCGAAAATCTACTTATTTGATAATCATCTTCATCTAAATCTTATAGTTCAACAAGTAATTTAACACAATAAATAACTGAATCTTGATGAATTCTATCAAAAACTGCATGATTTAAATGATCTAAGGCATGAAATTCATGAACAAGTGTTGCTGCTAAGTCAAATCTAAATTTAAACTAGAACTAAAATCTATTTCTTAAAATAAAAAAGAAGATATTGAACTGTAGAATATTGTTTTCCAATATCTGGAATTAATCTTAAAATTCTAAACACATTATTATAGAAAAAAAATAAAGCCTGTTGAATTTCAATTGTTCTTACAGTTAGCCTGAAATTCGATCCAATTCGACAAGTTTTGACTCAGAACCAAGTAAAATAATGTTTGTTTCAATTTCAAATGTAAATATACCTGAAATCATCGATATGCATATCTAATATCCAATATCGAAGACTATTCAAAATTAATTTTAAAACATTTGCTAATCGACAATTAAGTGTATTTCTCGTACCAGTATAATCAAAATAGTATTGATAATCAAGTTCTGAAAGATGATAATAATAACTTCTATTATCAATAGTTTTAAATGATAAAATTGGAGCATATTGATTTCCTTCACAAATAGGACTATAAGCAACATCAAGTGTAACTTCAATTCCCTCTTTGTGTCATTTTTTAACCATATGTTCAAATTCTAAAACTTGTTCTCTACATATTTCTATTGATGAACAATGAACATTAGAGGCAAAGAATTCAATAGTATGATAATTCAATAATTAATTAGACTACCTTATTTTAAATGACGATCTGTTGTAAAATGTTGTATAGGTATTGATTTAACAACTGTTATACGAAGTTTTTTTTTCAAATAATCTGTCGTGATTATATGTACTATAGATGGATATGTTGTACGAATATCTTCGAGAATATTTGGATGTAATTTTGTTTAACATTTTACATGTAATTCATAAATAATTGTTTCATAAAAAGAAATATTTGGTTATGCATGACGACCCTAATTAAAATTATTTCAATCAACAACACATTTTGGAATAAATGATGCACTATTCAATGTATTAAATGTTAAATCTTTATCTACATATGTATCTTGAATGTTATAATCAAATAATGAATTATGCCACTCTAATACTCCAGTTATCGTTGAAGCATATAGATCAATTAAAAGTTTCTTAACATTAAAATGATAATCATTTCGAGAATGAAAAGAATCACAAGAAACAAATTCATCTGATCCATCGCCTAAACAACAAGTAACGCTCGTCGCTTCGACTCGCTTAGCCCTCGACTGAACAAGATATCATATTCGAATTGATTTCATAATCCCGTTACACCGGGTTTCAACATTTTCAAATAAAAAGAAAAGTAGNGCAAAATTATTAAATTCATCAGTTACATTAAAAATTCAGAAAACAACGATTTCTACAAAACAAAGAAAACATAATCACGAGATTAATATAAACTTCATCATACATAGGCAACTAATTAATAACAAATACGAAGTCCATATACTCTTGTAAACAATCGCATTTTTTCATATACGACCAAATACTGCTGTATTACATGAATTAATATTACGATCGTATATCTCCATCACTGTATGCGAACCTATACGATTCTATATGAAGCTAAATGGAGACCGTATGCAACTTTTGTGTACGCAGAGTAAATAAACGGCTTTTTTTTTCTCCACAAATTTCCGTATATGACATGAAGATAGACGATCGTAAAATATTAGGACTTGTATACTGTCGTATTTCTCTGTAAACGTTCGTTTAAGACTGTGCTTGTTTGACCTAAGAACTACTAGAAAAAGTGTTTCTAATAAAATTCATTTCCTTAAACTTGAGAATTCATATCTTTAACAATCATCACTTCTTCCACTAATTATAATAAAATAATTGTTTTGCAAAATGATATATTAAACCAGTTGTTCTTATGAAATCAAAGAACTTCTTTGTTTTGTTGTTAGCGACATCTAGAAATCATTAAAAAAAATGTTTTGTCAATTTCTCGACCATCTAGAAAATAGTCAGTTATTTTAATAATATATATAATTAATAATTGCTCTTTTATCGTAAATATCACTGACAAAATGAGTTTATTTCAATAGTGGAGACCTTTTTTTTATTATCTATATAAAGTCAAAATTAATACAAAAACATATTTGAATTATATGGTTGATGAAATGATGTATGTTACGAAATAAATTCTTTCCTCGCTAATTTGATTATTTATTAAATTTATCGGAACAACATCGATTTGTCGCAGTTAGCATATTGTTATTATTACCGGTGAAGATAAATCAACAAATATTTCACTAAAATGATATTCTTTTTCAGTCTAGCTCAAGTATTAAATATAGATACATATTAAATTTTGATTCAAATCAGAATAAAATATCTATGTAAATTTTGTTTCTAGGTATCATAAACATGGTCTTTATCATCCATAAAGGTTAGTGTTAAAGATAAATTTTTTATCGGATTATTGTGGATTTCGACATTACAATAGAACTGATTAGAATAATACGGAAATAAATGTATTATGGATATCAGACGCTTTTTCATAGTAATTAAAATACTGTTCTACTGATTTTCAGTATTTATTACTATATAAAATTTGTGTTTTTTTAAGTAACCTTCGATATTTCGACTTTTTTTATTCGAAGAACAAAAAAATATATATTCTAAATGATGTCTAGTGCTTTTAAAAAATTTTCAACTCGATCGACCATAGTATCTCGAGTGAAAGGTCAGGTCACCGTGATCCCATTATCTCATAGAAGACAGCATTCAGGAACATTGTGTCTATCACAACTTTTGCTCTAATCGTCAGGATCTATCTGACCTGAAAAGTTTAAATCTTTCTGAGAAGCTGCTCTTCAGAAACCCGGGAAAGGAGTAGCATTAACGTTTATTTTCTTCTTAGAGCTTTAACTGGAATAGTAAACATCTTCATTCAAATTCTTTAGATAATTTATTTAAGTAACATCGATTTCTATTGTTTATCTTAGCAAATATTTGTTTTCGCTTTATTTAGTTTCGTTGGATAGAGCATATTGAGCTACGTATAAAAAACTACTTGTCCAATTTTTAGAAAGAACCTTTTCTTCGAAATATTGAAGAAAAAAAACTAAGCTCTGAATATTCCAGAAATGTAAATATTTTTTCTCACTTTATAGGACATTATAAGGGTTATTTTCTGATTCTGAAGACCAAGTTAACCTAAAAACACTTTATGTACGTAAGTATGTTTTTTGGTCAATTTTGTCTTCAGAATCAGAAAATAATCTTTATACTGTTCTTTAAAATAAAAATAAAATATTTACTTATTCATGATATTTAGAATTTAGTCGTTTTTCGAATATTTCCAAGAAAAATTTGTTGCCAGAAATTGGACAAATAGTTTTTCATAGGTAACTCGATGTGTTGTAATCAACGACAATAAATAAATTGAAAACAAACATCTGCTAAATTTTTGAATTTCCGGTATCTTAACAGGAAACGAACAAAAATAAGTTATGAATGAATTCATTAATTAAGAAAGTTTTTCTTATCAATATATTTGATTGAACAATTTTAGATTCATTATAATGAATTCATCGTTTGATAAATCGAAATATTCTAATGTTAAAAAAGTTGTTCTTCTTTCCGGTAAACGTAAATGTGGAAAAGATTATCTTGGTGAAAAATTAGCTGAGAGACTGCAAGCTGTACTTTTACATTTAAGTGAACCATTAAAATTAGAATTTGCTCGATTAAATCAAATAAATGGTGAAGAATTATTAAATTCATCTTGTTATAAAGAAAATTATCGAAAAGATATGATTAAGTATATTAATTGTTTTTTTCTTTGTTAAGAGAACTTTTAGTTTTTTTTTATATTAGATGGGGTGAAGACAAACGAAATGAAGATCCATCAATTTTTTGTCGTATGGCTATTGAACAAAAGCATGAACTATGTTTGACAAATCCAATATGGATTATATGTGATATTCGACGTTATACAGATATTGATTTTTTTCAAAAATATTTTCCAAATTGTTTATTACTTGTTCGTATTGAAGCATCGATTGATACACGTAAAAAACGTGGTTGGATTTTTACATCGAATATTGATGATTCAGAATCTGAATGTCAACTTGATAAAAATGTTGAGTGGTCCTTTGTATTTTCGAATAATGATTCGGATAATTTTGATGAACAAATGAATAATCTTATTAAGATGATAAATTCTTAGTCCGTTGTTTTCTTTTTTTGTTAAGGTGAAATAATATTGTGATAATTTTTTTTCAGATTATGAATGGCTCATCTGGCAGATACTAGAACCGAATTAACCATTGAATCGAATATAACATCTGAGGAAGATGATGGATTAGATCCCCGAGTTCAGGTTCGTCATCTTTTATTTTTATCAATCATCTTTTTCTATCTCTTATTTGATGTAGATTGAATTAGAACGATTAAATCATGCAAATGAAGCAATCAATCATTTAGAATTACAACATGATGTAATTAAATTCTTTCGGTTTTTTTTTGTCGCCATGTCTTTATTTATTTTTTATAGGAAGCTCGAAAAAATCTCAAAGAATTTTGGAATACAGTTGAAGAAGAATTAGTTCAATTAGAAAAAAGTATTGGTTCAGCTGTTAATAACGCCCGAAGCTATTATGAAGCTCGAATTCAACTACGGCATCAAAAAGAAGTGTCAACTAAAGCAAAACATCGATTTGAACGTGCACAAGCTTTACATGTTGCTGCTAAAGAATTAGCTGTAGCTTCGGTGAGTAATTTATTGTTTATAAATGTAATATTTAAAAAAATCGTTGAAATATTTTAGGCTGATTATATTGATGAAGCCGAAAAATCAAATCAAAATCCAGAAAAATGGAGTGAAACATATGGTCATGCTCTTGCAAAGGTTTGTTCAAATAATTCTATTAAAGTATTTAAGAAAAATTGTTAATTTAAAGGCAGCCGATGCTGAACAAGAAAAATATGAAGCTGATTTAGAGCAACAACGTGCCGAAAAAGCTTATTTTGAAGTAGAAAAATTAGTTGAAAAATTGCAAAAAAATTATCGACGTGCAATTAATAAATCACAGTAAAATAAAATATAATATTTTACGAAAACTTTATAATAGATTCACTTTTTTATTTTTATCTTTTTAAAGACCCTATTATGAGAAAAAAGCTGAATATCATAAAGAATTAGATGTATGAATACGAAATTGATTTTTTTCTTCTTCTTTAAAAACAATCTTTTTATTTTTATTTTAGTTTCAAAAACGTAAAGTTGATGGTCTTGAAAATTGTGTTAACGAAGCTAAAGCACAATATCAAGAATCATTACGTAATCTTGAAAAAATTAGTAATGAAATTCATGCACAACGAAATCAAGGAAAACTACCATATGATCTCGGTGAACGATCAGATAGATTCAATGAAGAACAAATAACTTATACAGAATTCGTAAGAAATTTGCTTCTTTTCCCTTAATTTTGTGAAACTCAAATCGAATTCTTTTTCCAGAGTGCGTTAGCAACGCGAAAAGACTTACGAGAGAAGCTCTTCATTTAATTAATCACTTTTGAGCCGGAAAGCGTGTGAACTAGGTAGATCATAGTCGGTTACAAATATTCCGAAAGCGATTTTATTACTGTAGCTTATTGCTGTCAACAGATTCCATTTTTACGGTATTTTTTAAAAAACAAAATGCCGTAGTCTCAACACAGGAATATTAGGAAAACTGATTTTCGAATTTCAACTTGAAACTTTGCTTAGAAATGGATCTTGAAGAGAATAATTAATCGCACAAGCACTTTCACCATGGCTGTATCTTAACATAGGAATAACGAAAATATCTGAAGTTTTCACAATAAACTATTCTTCTTAAGCCTCGCTTTCATAACTTATTAGAATCTACATGATGCACATAGTCTTGACTTGAAAGTAAATAATCAGTTGGGAGACTTTCCTAGACACTTTTAAAAAATCAGTCATTTTCATCACAAACAAAATGAAAATTGACAGCATGTGAGGATAGCCCAATATCTGATCTTTCATAAACAGCATGATTTTTTATTCAGTACTTTGATTTTTTTAAAAACTTTAGATGATTTCCGTTATTTTCTGCTTGAATAATATGCTTTTTTGGTTGTGCAACCCAGAATTCTTCAGGGGCTTTCATTCTATATACTTAATTTTTTGCTTTGGTTGAAAGAGCGCATGTAAAGATGCAGAGCATGAAAGAACTCATTTTTTGAATTAAAGTTTGTTACTATTATATAAAAGAATACTTTTATAATTATCGAGTCACTTTTTGAGAGTTTTTCGCGATATTAAACTTTTCTTGCCTTAAACAGTAACAAATTAAAAAAAAGAGCTTTGTCATTCTCTGCATTTTGATATAATCTTTCAAGAAAAAAATAATTAAATTTACAAAATCAAGCTCTACAGAGTATTTTTATTATGGACTGTCCACTATAGCTTCCATATATACTGGAAATTTTATACGATTTGAATATATCTAACCTAAGATCGATTTTTGAGAGGAGATCTTAAAAAAAACTGGAATACAAAAATGAAAAATATAACGCCAGTAAAAAAGAAAGAAAATTTTCTGTTTGGCATTACTTCTCTGCCAATCTATTATCCTTAGCAAATAACTACAGCCTGATTGAGATTTTTCACTTAACATATTTTCTATTAGTATAATAAGGCTGAAAGACACATGTGAGTTCTATATAGTAGCTCCGAATGAACTGTACGAACAGGCTTTATTAAATTCTTTTTTTTTTCAAAACTATTTAGAACAAATTGCCACCATCACCACCTAAAACAAGTCCATCAACATCACCTATCATTTACCCAACAAAACGATTAAATCGTCCAGAACAATTACTTCGTTCATGTTTACTTCACACAGAAAAATTACCAGCTGGAATATTTGCTAATACAAGTGGTCGAACATCACCTGTAGGTGATGAAACCACACCAACAAATTTTAATGATCAATTTATCCTTTCTTCAAAACAACCACTACCGCCACCACCACAAATAGTTATTATTAATTCAGATACAGAATCAAAGAAAACTTTTCATCATACTCATCAAAGAAAGCCAAGTGATGGTTATTCATCACAAATAACTGATGATGAAGATGATAGAACAGGTTCTCTTCATGTTCTAACTGATGAACAACTTGAACATTTAGCTTCTGTTTATCATCCTCTTCCACCGCCACCACCTGAGACAGGTACGACTAAAACATCATCCATACGAATGTCTGAATCTCTATTATATTCATTAAGCAATCCTCTTTCTAAACTTGTTCTACGTTAATTATTGTTTGTTTTCTTTTTCTTTTTGTCTCTATTATTCAGACACAATCGACGAACTTGTTTTACAGTTACAAAACTCGAAATTACAGGCTAAAACATTTTTTCGCAATCTTTTTAAAAATAATCCTATACAAAAATGAAAAGCAAAGAGAAAGTTTAAATTAACAAAAATATATAAATATATATATAGTGATAAAATTAACTAGTTTGCATGGCTTTTTTTATTGCTTGCTGCTAGGTTTTTTGCTGCATGAACCGTTGTCATGTTTTTTATTTGGATGATTTGTGTTTTATGTGGAATTCTAATGAAAATATAGGAGATGTTTAGTGAAAAATTCTGTTAACTCATAGAAGAGAGGTGCTACCTGTATACATTCGTATGTTGTGGCTTGTTTGACACGCTTGGCTATTGGTATTTATTTTATTTCACAGGTCCATATGCATAAAATCTCCATGATTACAATGATTTTTTTTTTCATATGTGATAGTACCATGTCTTTTTTTTTCATTTTATTCTTGTATAGTGATTATTGTCCATAATAGAAGAGAATAAAGTTTTTTTTTTGTCGTATATCATTTCCTAAATTAGAAATAATACAAATTTAATTTTTATTTTAACTCAATTGAATAAATGTCTATGAATGGTATCAATTTTATGCTCAGTTTGACTTTTTCCATAGTGCCAATTGAGACAAGACATGAACAGGTCATTGAATCAATTAATATGAACACTAAATAAGTTCATGTGATTAGTAACACATAAGTGTGAAGAAAACGAAGGTGGAGAAGTCAAAATCTTCCTTTCACTCAAGTGACAACAAGCTTAAACTATCAATAAGATTGATAAATGAACTTGATTATATTTTGTACAAATGGCATATGGACTAAAATAATATTATATGTTTGTTCTAATAAGATCATCAGACAATTCTCATGACTTGGTTTCTTTCTCTTTCTTTCATACAGATTGATTTTTATTAGCTTTTGATTGAAAAAGAGATAGCATAATAAGAATAATAATCTAACAGAAGGTAAGTAGAAAAAAAAAGAAATGACGATGCAATTGAATTGCATGAAAGAATCCTTATCTTTTCGAGTATACCGTGATTGAACATCCAACGGAATTAATCAATATAAGACCACTTGAAGAATAAATAGATAATATTTCTCTAGTTTTATTTGATTCTGTAAAATAAAAGATATTTTCCTATTAAAGATTTTCATTCAATTCAAGTTTTACAGGAGAAAATTTAGATTATAAATTTGAAAAAGAGAAGTTATTTATCGAAGGTGGGGGGGGGTACTTCTGTAGACTAATCAGTATATAGGATATCATCGATCTGTAGAAGAAGCCTGATCGACCTTGGAACGCCTTCTGTTAACTGATGCTTGTTTTTAAAACAAGAAACGAATCTAAAAAATGTATGTTTGATCAATTCAAAGAACTTGAATTAGCAAGATTGTTAAACTTTTTATCATAGCGTTTGTTCAGAAGCAGAGAAATATTTGTTGTATTAATAAGAAAGCAATACAAAGAAACTTTCAACTAATGCCTGTGTCAGAATTAAAAAGAAGTAGATGTAAGCTTAATAACTTGACAATGGCAACTGTTAGTCAAGTTACAGTTTTATGAAATCTAAAGAGGAGAACCTCGAACTTCTTTTTATTTGATAGACTGAACGACAAAATTCTTTTAAAACCTATAATCTTAGTAAAGCATTCAAAAAAAAGGCATACAAATGGCTAATGTATCTATTCAATCAAATATCCGAAGCTATCCTCTTTCATATTGCTAAAAATTGCAGATTTCTAGCTGTTTTTGTTGTCAAGTTATTGAGCTTACACGCATCTCTATTGGATTCTGACTCGGACACTAATCAAGAATCCTCTAACTTTTCCATCATGTTTCTCCGTATTTCACCTGGTTTTTTTTGTTCTTTTAAAATTGCCAGATTTACCCTTCAAATCAATATTTCTTTTTGTTTCTCTGCCTCTCGATAAACCAATGATATTATTTCTTTTTTCTCCACCAATAAAAAATTCCATACTTGTCTTTTTTTTCTCTCTCTCTCTCTTATCGATTTATCGTCAAGAGAAATAGTGTTATTCGACATAGATATTGAATCATAAAAAAAAAGGAAAAAGTGCAGTGTTGTATACACATTTACTTCTCTCAATATATACGTATCATCATCATCTCTCTCAATTGAAGAAAATAATTCCTAGATTTTTTATGATTGTACCATGTGATTAAAGCAATATCGAAAAGTTCTAATTTTATTACTACAATAACAAAAAACAAAATTTGATTATCCGTGAAATCATCACTTATAATTTATTGCATCATTATTAACACCTATAATCATCAAACAGGTAAATCGAATTTTTCTTTTTTTATTTTACGAACTATCCCAAAAGACATTTATGTCAATCAAGCATGACGAAAAAAAAAAACCACAACACATCAAATTTTCGAACAAAATTCTATATTTCACATATATATTAATTTAGACGATGAATACAAACTATCCATCAATAATATCTGTTGATCCTGAATCCAATGCTCGTTTATATGAAACATCTTATAATAACTATTCACCTTATACTGATTATACGACAACATCAAAACTAGAAGCATTTGATTATAATTATTGGCCAGGAACTCCAACAACACATAATATATTAACAATACCACCGACTTCAACAACAAATCAAATTATTGATCAAATTCAAACATCACCATCAACAAATCAAACCATTGAAACACTAGTACCCGGATCAACTGTGCATTTATCACAAATAAATTCATCAGCAACAATATCAGCAACACATCATCATCATCATATTCATCAACATCTGTATCCTGTACCATCATCATCCAATGATTCACCAAATTGGCTGACACCAACTGAATATCAATCACCAACGAATTATCGTCATTATCCATATACAAATAATACTTTCTATGATCAATCACAATGGACAACACCAACATCATCGTCACTTGCACCAATTAAATTTGAATCTCCATATAGTCCACCATCATATTTTGAATCATCACATAATATTGATCAACCATTATCTGATAGTAAAGAAGAACCATCGAATTCATCATATTCAAAATGTCAAGAACAACAATCAAATTGGTTTAAATCACAATTAACTCCAACACCACCAAAAAATCCCGCAAACGGTATGTGAAATTTTTTCAATTTGACATTTAAAAATATAAAACAAGAAGTAAAAGGGCATGGAATTGAATATTGCTTAAACACGCGCTTCCACATTGGTGTTATACACTGATCAGAGTGTTCGGTGTTGAATGTAAACAATTTAAGGAATATGAGAGAACTAACAATCATTCAATCTATCTTGATTGATTTTTCTAACAAAAAAAAGAGTGCCGAATGCCATAAAATGGTACCGTAGTGCGTGTACATTTTTTTTTATGACTTTCAATTGTTGATACACATACATTGATAAGAATAATCGTGAACTCATCACTCAAGTGGGGCAAAGTAACATGGAAGAAAAAAAAAAGAAGTATTCTAAATAGAAAAGAAGTGTCACCTGAATCATTCCTAAAACGTTTAAAGTAAAGTTTTTTTTTTAAAAAAATGCTCAAACAAAACATTATTTAATTTACGAAAGAATCTCTTGAAACAATAAAAATCTTTTTGAAACGAAATTTATATCATTAAGTAGAATCTACTAAGAATTAAAAAAAATGTCTATAATGATTTGCTCTTCTATTGCATTAATTTTATTGAGTTTCTGCCTTAGTGAAGAGCGTATCGTTAAAAATCTAATGTCGCTATTTCGATCTGAAAGTCGTATTACTTTGGCGTCTTATAATTCTTATCATATAATGAAAGTTTCATCTAGAACGAATATTATTGTCATATTATAACAGATTTAGAAGTCAACTAGATTTTTTCTGAACGTTTACTAAAATATGTGCATTGGTTGAAGATTTGATCTCTTATACGCAGAAAAAATTCGATGTCAGACAGAGATCATAAGATCTGTGTATGAGTGAAATGGTGACATTAGCTTTGTGACGATACACTCTACACTACTACGTCAGGAACTCAGTAAAATGAAAACAATAAGCGAACGAACTATTATGGATTTTTCTTACTCTCAGTAGGCTTATTTAACAAAACAGATTTGGTCTGAAAGTTTCTTTTATACCTTCACGAAAATTTCCCTCTTTAGAAATTACTCATGTATTATATAATCAAGGTTTTAGAATATGTCTGTTATACTCTAGAATCATGTAGTCCCAAGAAGAAATTGAGCGTATCTGTGACGAAAGATATTAACCAAATTATTCCTTAGTGATATGACTTTACAAAATTAAAATACATGTATCAATGAATTTTCATATACTATGTCTATGTTAAGTTACTCTAGATAACCTGAAAACCTCGCGATTGGAGACTTTTGTTCAGAGAAGTTATCAGTAAAAAAGTAGCGTTAATGACGTGACGGAATACTAATATACAAAAGAAAAAATGTTCTTATAATCGAATACGAAATTTAAAACCAAATCGTTCTTCAGAATTTCTAAATGATGACAAGACAAAAGCTTTTATTTCAGGACTTGATTGGATCTTCAGAAAATCTTTTTTTAGAGTCTCATCTTCCTGAAAATTATGGTTCATGTCGTAGAATTTTTCCTGAAGTTTTCCGATGTTTTCTTCATATGCGTGCGAAGATATTAGACTTAATATTTTATTTTAAAAATCCATAAAAATAAAGTACTGACGTAGAAAAATTAATAAGGAAAAAATTATTCAGATAGTTTCATCTTGATTGTGACTCACAATGCAAATTTTGTTTTCAATTTGCTTTCAAATAAATACCTGACAGTTGATATCGTATTTGAATAATTGCTTACCTCTAAAAAAGAAATTTAATTGTGTTGTATATCTGAATGTATGCATACAGTTTTTATACCTGAAGTCAACACTAGTAAAAAATTTTATTAGGTCGAATGTTATAAAGTTTTATAACAGTCAGTATGAAAGAAATAATTATTATTCGTTATTCTAGGAAAAACGCGTACACGTGATAAATATCGTATTGTTTATACTGATCGTCAACGATATGAACTTGAAAATGAATTTACTATATCAAAATATATTTCAATACCACGTAAAGCAGCTTTATCATCTGCATTAGCATTAAGTGAACGACAAGTAAGAAAAGAATATTGTTTAATATATTTTTTTTTTATAATTGTTTGCTTTAAAATAGATTAAAATTTGGTTTCAAAATCGTCGTGCAAAAGAACGTAAATTAAATAAAAAGCGACAAGAAATATGTTCAAGACAATTAAATAATTCAACTGATGCTGATTCACCAAGTGATGGTGGTATTGAAAGTCCGACTTATTATCAAAATTATGTGTGATTCTATTTATTATCTTGTATTTCTTCTAAAAAAAAAGTTATGTTTTTGTTTCGATTTTTGAAAAATCTAGAAAAGAATATTTTGATCGTAATGTGTCTATCTTTTCGTTTTTTCTAAGAGTGGTGAATGTAATATAACATATTTACGTTGGCGGTAAAGGACATTTCTCTCTTTTCTTTTGACTATAAAGTTTATAATACAATGTATGTTAACTATAATGCATGTTTTCATATTATATATGCGATTACTTCGAGGCACCATCATTCGAACAAACAAAAAGAAAAGCACGAATGATCGTTCATCAGTTGTTTTCTCGATTGTTCTCTTCCTTTTATATCGTCGTCCAGTGTATATATATGTATATCTATCTTTATAAGAATATAGCAGTACATGTGTCTTTAACACATATACACGTACACAGTGTTCGACGCCGACTTGTTTTCTATCTGTTCACAACAACACATACCAAACAATGTCATTTTCGATGTTAGTTTATTAATTCAAAATTTTTAAAGATTTCTTTTCTTTTCAATAGGTCATACGATTTTCCACAGCAGCAACCACCAAAAAGTGCCGCTGCCGAGATGGATCCTAGCGTACTTTGGTGTCTTGGACCAGATTTTGACAAACAAACAGTATTAAGTTTACTTAGTGATAATAATTCTATCGATTCTGGCTTCATGCAACCCACCACACCTATATGGTGGATGTCAAGTCCATCTCAATGGAATACTTCATCGATGCATGAACCACCTATTTATACACCTCGTTCGGTAATGAGTGAACTTGGACCACAATCACCTACGAGTAGTGCTACAAAACGACCATTTTCTGATGTTAGCAATCGAACGACTAGTAAAAGAAGATATTAGATTGATTTTTAGAATTTCTTTTGTTCTCTTTGTAATAGTCGGTCGATCATTCACTGGCAACCAACCAACAACTAAACTTGAATTTTCAACACCAGTACGATCATTAACACCAGATTTGTACAGTCGAGTACCATCATCGATTAAACGATCACGAATAACACCTGCACTTGCTTCATCATCTTTATATGAAACACCACCACCTCCAGCACCACTTTCTTCATCTGGTTCAACAATCGATTCAGCTGAGTATGTTATGACATAATGATCATTATATTCTTATTCCATATTTATTGATTTACATAGACGAGCTTTGGAAATTGCACTGTTACTTAAAGAACATCCAGATTGTACTTGTGTACTTGTTACACTTATTCAAGAATATCAAAGCCGGTTTGTTTTTTTTTTTCTTCTTATTAAAACATAAGACGAATGACAAAATTCTGATTCTATTTAGATTTCAAAAACCACTTCATGTAAGTGAATTATATACAATGAAACATGTCATTGATATTCAAGATTATGGCGGTAATCGAGTTGCTCGTCTATTACCTGCATTTCGTCTACGTTTTGACGAAAATAATATTCAGGTAAATCATAGGATTTGTCGAGGTTATTTTTAATTAATCATTATTTTCATTTTATTAGGCTCATTTGGAACAACCTTATTGTATAATACATTGTTCAAAAAATTTTATTGTTAATCCCGATCTTGATTTACCTTTTGTTCAAATTTCGTTCAGCTCATTTGCTGATAATGTTCGTCAATTATTAACTCAACATAATGGTTCAATGCCTTTAGCTAGGTATGTATTTAGGTTTTTTGCAAAACACGATCTAAAGGAATATTGAAGTATATAGGATAAGAGCTTGTACCCATATACAATGTTACAGTAGAGTTCGATGTTCCAACAATGACTCGGAACTGTAGTTATGACTCTGCTTTTGGTTACTAAAAAGGAGAAAAAAAAACGGTTTAATTTCGGTTCCCAAAATATCACTTGGAATTGAAACCGTTCAATCATCAGATAGATACAGAAAATTTTAAATCTATTTTGACTAATTTTTACTAGTAAATTGTTGAGATTAAGGACGCTACATGTTTTAGTACTTAAACAATAGAATATTATACATGTATACTGATATCTTCAATCTCAAGAATGAAAAATGAAAAATGAAGGATTCGTGGCATAGATTTAAGAATTTTTTGTATTTATCTAATGATTTGACAGTTCTAGTACGAAGAATTTTAAAAAAAATCGATTCCGAATCCAAAAGTTTTGAATTCCATAGATTCTACATAGCGGCTAGAGAGCATCACAGACCTTAACAGATGTTGTTGACATATGATTAAAGACCGTATATCATTAACGTCTCGTTTTATTATATGAAGTACTTCCTTATTGTATTTCTGGAGGATTAAGTAAAGTATGCTGAAGAAATATCTCCCAAAATGGATAGAGTAAAAAAACAATCTACCTGAGACCAGCGACAGTAGTTACATTGTGTTTCGCATTTAATATCCTAGAAGGATTGTGCTAACAAGTTTTTTTTATTTGATTTGTATATTTATATTTATATTTATATTTATTTCTTTTAGTTTTTCTCAATGTTATAATTATAGCTTCGAACCTTTATATGATCACAATGAAGGCGTTCCACTTGAACATTATATTTCATGTAAATTTATTTGTTTTCTTGTATGGTTTTCATGAAACTTTATTGATATCTGTCTTTAGGTATCAAAGATATTCAAATCGTTACTGGACAAGGTGTAATTAAAAAGGTGCAATTTTCTAATACACCAGGTGTATCGTTTATGCCAACACCATTTGATACTTCTAATAGTGAGTATATGATTTATTTCATGTTCTTTTTTTATGAATTTCATATTTTTGTTTTTTATAATAAAAGTGCATGTCGACATGTGTGCTGAAGTTCAACAACGTTTACAACAATTTTCACGTGAAGTTCTTGATTTACTTAAAAACCAAGGATTTCATTGTCGTTTACCTGTTTCAAAATTTGTTTCTGCTTATCATCAATATTTTAGTCGACAATGTCGTGTAGCTGATTATGGTTTTTCAAAAATTATTGATCTTTTACTTGCTATTCCAAAATCTGTTCAAGTAAGCATAAATAAAAAAACACGAAAGACAGTATAACATATATGGTTTATTTTTAAATAGATTCTCGGTGATGGAAATAAACGTATTATGACCATTACACATCGTTGTCAAATGAAACGATTTACTAATGATATAATTCGTATTTTAAAAAATAAACCGCAACGATCAATGTCAATTAGTGAAATTCCTATTGAATATGGTATGAAGAATCGATAAAATTTAATAAACTAATTTGGCTTTTTCCTTTTTTTAGAAATCGCTTACAAAAAACCTTTTTATGTTGCTGATTTTGGTATGTGCTATTTGGAAGACCTTGTAAATGAAGTTAAAGATAACAAAGAATTAGTTGTCGAAGCAGATAAAGATATTATTAAACTTTATCGTAAAGGTGAATAATTTTTAACATAAAAAAAAAAATTTGTAATTATTTTCGAATTTAGAACGAACTGATCTTGAAATTTATGCAACACGTAATTTTGAAAAAGATGTTATTGATATGCTTCGTATTTTACCTGATTTCAGTATACCATTCCAAAAATTTATTCCATCTTATCAGTAAGAAAGAGAATAAAAAGAAATTTCTTTTTCTTGTACATCTATGAACATTTATATTTAGTCATCATTTTGGTTATCAATGTAAAGTACAAACATATGGATTTTCTCGTTTAATTGATTTACTCGAAGAACTTTCATATGTTGTAAAAGTATGAATTCTCAATAGTTTTTTTTTCTTTTGAACGGAGATAGACATATTTTTATCGTACTTAAATAGATCAATGAAGATAAAAATGGTGAGAAAATTGTTCAATTAACACCAAGTATGATGGCACATGCAATTTTATTAAATATTGAACAATTGGTTCGAAAATCTCACGGTCCACTTAGATTACAAGATCTTCAAGCACAATATTTACAAGTCTATCGAAATGAATTAAATCCAGAAGATTTTGGTGTGGCTAGTATTGAAGCGTTACTTCTTACGATGACTGATAAACTAGACGTATGTAAAAACAATAATAAAACTTATTTATATTGTTTTCAACGGATGTTGTTTTTAGTTTCATTATACTGAAACTGATATTATACTTGTAATTAGAGAACCAAATCCAGCAACGATTCAATTAGCTAAAAATGTTGTTCTCACGTTAATGTTATCTCAATGTCAATTGTCATTTTGGCAGTTAAAACAAGATATGCTTGTTCGTTTTAAGCAAGATGTTACTTTGAATATGTGTCGCAATGAATTACAAGACTATGTCGAAGTTTGTTCATATTTTTCTTCTTCTTCGATCAACTATTTACTTTTATTGTAATAGGTGATTGATCAAACAGTCCGTTTAACTCCACCAATGTGTTTTGCTTACAATGTAGTACTACTTCTTAGTCCATGTGATGGTCGCATGGCTTATGATGATTTTATTATTGAATATCAACGTCGAACTGGTTCAACTCATTTACTTTATCCAACAGATTATGGTTTTCCGACAATGCCTCGTCTTTTCGATGCTACTCAACTTGTTGCTCAAGTTCGTGGTCGACGCAATTTTAAAATAATTATACTCAATCCCGAGTTTCGACGTACGTTACGTGATTATTAATATTAGGAAAAAATACTCCTTGTATATTTATTATTTTTAGTCGGAGGATATAGTCAACCAACACCTTTTACACCGTCCATGACACCTTTTTAATGTTTGTTTCGATCCTCGTTTTGACACATAATTCAGCATAGTTTTTCATTTTGTCTTACTACAACTTTGAAAGAAGTTTATCTAAAACTTCTTTCGACATTCATTTGACTTATGTCAGTTTTATTGTCTTCAATATTTCAACTCTAATTCTTTACTGAATATTACTGCTGTTTCTCTGTGTTTATTTATTCACATACGTTAGGACGAGGTGATTTGTTGTCTTTTTTTGAATTAACCAGCCGTATGTTTTAAAATTTACTTGTAATCAAAAGAAATTATTCTTTTTTTGTTCTTCGCCTATTTATATTTCATTTTGGCTAAATCCTATATATGCATGAGTGTGTATTTATTTTTGACACCGCTACTGGTGAGTTTTTTCGTCTTGACCTTTTTTGTGCTCAAAATTTTTCTTGCTCATATTTATTACGACGTTCTCACTTGTGTGTGTTTGTGTATAGTTTGTTAACTGCGCTTTTTAACCATATTTTATTTCAGAAAAGCTTGAATTTTCTTTCTTCTTTTTTTTTTGTTTATTTTATTTTCTGATTTTTTAGTAGATTGATACAGTTGATATATTATTCATGTCTCTGATCTTTTTTTTATTGCCATGGAAAATCTGTTGTTTATTCGTTTTTTCGAAAAGTTCATTTTGATTATGATTCTATTTATATATATGTCAATAAAATATCTAAGAGGCATTCAAATTTTCAATCGTTGATGAAAAATATTCCCTCAACAGGAAGACAAAGTGAAGTTGCATGAAGTGCATATCTCTCTTTTGGGTCAACTGTGATTATCTGTAAGAGTAGAATTAATCCGGCTCAAGTTTTTACTACAGCTAGATTATTGAAAATGATGGAATACATGTTCGAGAAAAAAATTTTGAAAGCAGGCCCAATGGTTTTTGAAGATTTTTTCAAAAAGTTCCTGAAAGTCTGCCATTCAAAAAATTTTTTTTCGAATATGAATCCCATCATTTTCGATAATCGAACTGTGATAAAAATTTGAGCCCGACCAGTTGGATTCTCGTGGAAGATCAGAAGTGGTTCACGAGAGGCGAGTATACCCTTTAATATAGAATACACAAGTCATTGTTTACTATTATGGAAAGTAAGCCAAATTGAATACGATACGAGAACAGTAATCATAAGTGAACAATTATTATCTGTAACTAGTGAATAAATCATTACAAGTATACACTATTTAGTCAGTTCTGTTTTACAGAATGTTTTAAAATAAATTGATCATATATTACTTATAGATAAAGATATTTTACAGTACAACTAAATTCCAATATCAAGAGACATCTGTAGACGAACTAAATATCGATTTGTGCAGTTCTTTTTCCATCTTATATTTTAATGACAATTAACTGTCTATCGGTTTTTCATTCATTTTAAAAACTGATTTTCACGTTTAACTAATGTTTCTTTCTAAGTTCTTAAAACAACGTTGTCTAACTCCTAGTTATATTCTATTTAATGTCTCTCGAACATTACAGTATCAAACATCAGCAAAAAAATCTACGGAAATTTATCCGTGAGTTGAATTAAATTTTTCCTTTTATATTCACTTATTTATTTACTTTTTATATAGAAAACAAAATCGAAAACCTAAATTTGATGCCATTAATTTCGAAGATTCATTAAAACCATACGCTGAAGATTTGACACTTGAAAATCAACATGAAAAGTAAATAAATTTCTATCAATTTGTTATTCATTATGTTTTATTTTCCTCTAGATTATCTAATTTAATCTTACCATTATCGAATCATTCATATAATGAACAATTAAAAGTACGTTCAAAATATTCTATAATTTACTTTTAAAATAATTATCATAGATTAAACAAGATATAATTGAGCAAGCATTTGATCAAATCGGTCGTGCTATTCTATGGGATAAACGAGTTGATAGTCAAGTTTTGAAATATGTCGAATTTCAACAAGGTAATTTTTGTCATGTCGAATCAATTATCCCATCGGTAAGATTGTTTGTGTTTTTTTCTTGAAGTAAAAACAAATGTTTTTATAAAATAGCCTATCATTGACCATTATCGATGTAAAGATGATTTATCATGTGGCTATGGGGTAGATGGTCAAAAAACAGTTGGATTTTATATTAATCCAAGAAATAGTAAAAGTAATTTTTTCACTTTTTTTTTTATCAACATTAATCTCATATTTATTTTCTTACAGAATCTCCTAATACTCTATGTGTACCACCTATATATTTAAAAAGTATGAAACCAAAACATGTTCTAGTAGTGAAGGTAAGATGAATTTTCTTACTATTTTGTAATAGCATGTTGAAACATTTGTTTTTCAAGCATTTTGATCAATTTCTTAAACAACATCCATTATCTGTATGTGAAAATACAAATATATTAAAAAAAGATCAATATTGGCGTTCAATTACATTAAAATCAAACGAACAAGATGATTTGATGATGACTGTTGTTGTTCATCCTCAGTCATTAAGTAAGGTGCTTCCAAAACTTTTATTTTTATTAATTCTTTGTATCACACTAATTTTATTTTAAATTAGAATGAAATTGATCAAATGAAAAAAGATCTATTGAATTATTTCATCGATGGATCAGGTCGTGAATGTGAAATTAATTCAATATATGTTCAAACATGGTATATCATATGTTTTGTTTTAGTATTATTATGTTCAAGTTTCTGTTTTTGTTGATATTTAGCGCTCAAAATCGTTGTATAAGCGAAGAAAATCCATTTGAATTAATTTACGGAAATGAATTTCTTTATGAAATATATAACGAAAAAAAATTTCGTATTTCACCTGAATCACTTCTACAAGTAAATCAAAAAGCTGCCGAATTAGTTTATACAACGACATTAAAACATGCTCAAATAGATGAAAATACAATAGTATTAGATATTGGATCAGGAATTGGTAAGAAATATACTTAGCACAAAGTGATGAAAATATTTTAAATTTTTATAAAAAGTTTGAATAAAGCTTCTCTCTATACTGCTCGAGAGTCAAAAGTGATGCTCTACATCTTTTCTTGATATTTAATCATGCTTCAACTAATAAAATCTTGATGAGAGCTGTTTGCTGTGATATATGCGAGATACATTCGGCAATAGTTTGTCTATAGTGCGTATCCATTTGTTCATGTTCTCTTTTTTCTCGTCCCATCTGATGCCTCGCGATGCATATATATCAGGGTATAAACTAAGGGGTTTCATGACTTTTGGATCGGGCTCGAATGCTTCTCGTTAACTTTCCTGAACACGACAAATCGTATATAAAGTTGGTATACTTCCTAGTACTTACGAGGCAACTATCATAACTGATACCGGCTGTTTGAGCTCATATTAGGTTCACAAGTAGACCTTGGTAAGACTAGAAAAATCCTAAAAAAAGTTGGTATTCATGGTCCTCTGGAGCCGAGTTATGACCGTTTTACTAAATTTTCGATCCAGTTTTAGCTGTTTACCGAAAAAAACAAATCATAGAATTTTGACCTAAAATTTTGCCCGTAAGCAGCTCAAATGAGTAGTAGAATATGCCAAAAGGAATATTCCTTTGTCGAGTAATTGAGCTTTCCAGTAAACTCGGTTTTTGTGGCCATCAACTATTTTCTAGAAATTCAATATTTTAACGAAGGAACATTCTTTTCTGATGAAACTTTCAGGATATTCTACTGGTTGTTTAACTTTTTTATGAGCGAAATTTCAGATCAAAAACTCAGTAAAATAATCATACATCAGTCTCAGAGACTTATATTCACGAATCCTTTTCGGATTTCTGTAGTCTTATCTAAATCTTCTTGCGAATTCAATACGGGTTCAAACAGCCAGTATCAAGAAGTAGTGTGACCCTTTCAGATAGTTGTTACTTACATGCAATAAATGCTAATGTAAAAAGCGAAGTTCTCAATAGAACTATCAAGTGATACTCCTCTGATCCACTTTTAACTAATAGGTCGTGCCAATTTTTCGACGCTATCTGGTAAACGGAATCCTAAAACTGTAGTGTGATCTTAGTGTATGTTGCTGATAAGTACTTTTTAATGAAAATGAATACTACTAATTACTATGAAATGTACCAAGTATTCTTAGAAATAAAGTTCTTTTTTTTTTGAGAATTGATAAGAGAAATTTGAACCGAAAATCTGATCTTTTTAAAAAGAGGTGATAGTAGAACAAAAAAGAAATACCAAAACAAGGTTATCAAACCTTTAGTAGATTCTATGAATTCTTTTCTTTTATGTTCTTTTTTCTTCGAAGAATTCATGAACCTATTTACAGTACAATGCAGCGATTTGGAATCGTTTTTATTTCTTAGATTTTATTTGACTAAGTCGAACAACCAAAAATCACATGGTGCTAGATGCACAGAATGACTTAACTAAAAACTTGATAAACGTGTTTCTATATGTTTTTTTTTGTTCTACCGATACCACTTTTATTATATCTTAATATGCATGCATAGACATCTAGGTATTAGAACAAATAGAAAAGCAAGAAGAGAATACACATTGAAGACAAACTGTGATCTGATATACCTGTCATATAGCATAAAAAACAGCTCGTCTCAAACTTTTATTAGTTGAAGAATGCTTAAATATCACACAAATGTAGAACATTGTTTTTTACTATCGAATGATATAGAAAGAAGTTATTTTAAACTTTTTACAAGAAATGAAAATACCTCTGGCACTACTTTTCATATGCTCTAAGTAGTTCATCTTTTTTTGAAATCATTTAAATTTATTCATAGGTGTTTATGCTGTATTGGCTTCATCAATTGCTAAAAAAGTCTATGCTATTGATCCTTTAACATTATGTATTGAAGATGGAAAATTCAATGCAAAATTGAATGGATGTCGAGATAATATCGAATGGATTTGTGGCTCTGCTGAAATAAATTTACATCGGATATTAAAGAAAATTGGTGATTTAAATGGAGATCATTCTCATATTGTAGCTATTGTTAATCCATCACGATATAATCTATGTAAGTTTTTGATAGAAATATTTAATTAGGAAACAATGAACAACTTATATATTCTATCCATATGCAATAAGTCTATGTATAATTGTAAGACTGATTGAAATCGTTAAAAAAATCAACTTTAAATATTAATGTTTCCCAAGATCGTTAATTGATCTATTTGCTTTTGTAGCCAATCGAACAATAGAAGTACTTCGTACTTTACCATCTATTCAACGAATTCTTTATGTGTCATGTAAATCCGACGAACAAATGATGCATCATTTTTATGAGTATGTTTATTGTTAAATAAAAACATTTTGTTTATTTATAAAGTTTTTTTGTTTTAGATTAGCAGCTGGTGAACGATCAAAATCGAAACAAATTGGTGCACCATTTATTCCTACCAGTATTTATCCGATTGATTTACTTCCGTATACAACGCATGCTGAAACTATTGTGAACTGTGTTAGAGTGTAAATAAAAGAAAACTATTTATATTTAATAGGAAAAATTATATCCTTACTATTAAAAGAATGATTGTTTGACTTGAAGCGTAATAAATTGTTTTGTTTTTGTTGATTAATCTCTAACATATAATATTAAATATAGAAAAGATCTAATCAGAATAATAGAAATGATTCTATATTTATTAGAATGATACTGAAAAATTAACTCTTTATATACAAATATCTAGACAATTTGAAGAAGTAATATAATGTCTGATTAACTTGTTGCAATAGCTGAGAAATAGATAACGATCCGTATAGGTTATTCAGTATTATTTAAAGATCATCAGTAAATAAATTAAACTATCAACTTAAAATTTAGTGTTCACTAACTATTATGTGTTTGCTCAGTAAATTAATAATTTGTTCAACATTAAAACTAAAGTATCAGTAATTAATTTAGTTTAGGTGGAGGTGTTTCCTTCAACCTCACCAACAGTCTCATTAACACTTCAAGAGTTTATGATCTTCTGTATTTAAAACTGTATTTCAGAAAAAAAGACAGCTTCGTTTTAATAACGACAGGAGTCTAACAAACACTCTCAATTTCTCTGTTATTATGAACAGCAGGTCTTCTAAACTACACGACAAGTATATTTCACACAACCGTAGTTGATTCTTATTCAGTGGTCATTAATGGTTCTGAAAAGTATGCTGCATTGCGTAAGGTATCTACTTTTAGCAATGTGCAGTCCTGAACTATATCTCATAGTAGATAGATATATAACTTCTACTTATAAGCAGTTGAAGGTGTTTGAAAGTCCTTCCATATTTCTCATAGTGGTTTAGTATTACTATCGGAATATATCTATATACTATAAGATATATGTAAAGATCCTCAAAGACTTTCCATTGCTGAAAATAAGAGGTATCTATCTATGTAGTATTAGATATACCCAAGTTCAAAAAGATAAGATCCGTATATGGCCATTTACGATTAATTTACGATATATATACAGATCGTATTCAGACAGTAATTCTGCAGCTAGCCATACAGTCGTATTATTATACGATTACGACTTATATACAGTCGCATTCGGTACCATATTGCTGTTCCCAGAGTGACAAGAAAATATGATCCGTTTATGTATCATGCTGAATTATAAACGGCTATATACGGTAAAGTACTAACAAATATACAAATAGGAATATCAATCGACATAGGTATCTAAAGATCTACATTTCAGTTTGAGATCGAAAGTAATTTTTTTGTAAACTCAGGTTGAAATAAAATAGATCATTGTATGTTCCATATGTCTATATCCCTCTTTCAATTGTAATTATACTATTTTTATTGAGATAACTTAATTAAAAATTTGATAAAATAAATTAAATACTGAGTTCTTTTAAGTTAAGTATTTACTATGAGGAAACTACTGAGTAATTAATAAAAAACATACTGAGCAATTAATTACAAGCCATTGATAAAGTGTTCTCTTTCATTTTTGTAAATCATGGTCTTTACTTATCTAAATTTTATATAATCACGTTTATATATAATTTATATCAAAATTATCATCAATATGTACTAATGAAAAAGAGCGTCCTCTTTCGATAGTTCAAATAATCTGAGTGAATCATTTTTGAAATTCTATTGGTTTCTTCTTATTGATAGTATAGCGCATAGTTGATCGACTCATGAATTACTATCTTTTTTCATATTTATAATCTTCTCATAATCTTTTGATGGTGTTCTAGATAAAAAACAAAGAAATCAATGGCTTCTATTAATGATGATTCTTATGAATCAATTGGTTTAGTTAAACCCGAAGTTTATGTTTATATGATACCTCCACGTCAATCAGCAACACGTAAACATCGTGCAGCTGATTGGAAATTAGATTCACCAAATTTTATTTGTCGTTTGAAAATTATATCCAAAGGTGAAAAATGTTTAATACGTTTAGAAGATCGTAATACGGGTGCACATTTTGCAACATGTCCTATTGATAGCTATCCATCAATTGCTGTTGAAAATGTTGAAGATTCTACACGTTATTTTGTTATACGTGTACAAAATGATAATGGTCAGCAAGCATTTTTAGGTATTGGTTTTAATGATCGTTCAGATTCATTTGATTTTAATGTTGCTTTACAAGATCATTTTAAATATTTAAAACAAGCTAAACAAATTGAACAAGAAGCTAAACAAACAGCTAATGATCCTTTACAACAACAACAACCAAAACTTGATTTACGTTTTAAAGAAGGACAAACCATAAAAATAAATCTTAAAAGTAGTTTACCAGGTGAAGAACAAACGAAAAAAACGGTAAAAAATACAAGTGAATCTATTGTCCCAGGAATCTTACCACCACCACCAGGTTCAACAATTCCAAAATTAACACCACCACCAGGCTCAACTGTTCCAAAAATTGCTCCACCACCATTAGCATCATCAGCTACAACAACAACAACAACAGCAACTACAAATAATAATAACAATAATAGTGTTCATTCCGATTTGAGTTGGATGCAATTCTAAGTTTTTTTGTTTTTTTTTTGTCTTATTTATCTTTTTCGAAAAAGCATTCATAAGATTAAACGTATGTAGATGTCTATCTTTCTTCTCTGTAATTTTCTTTTTCTTGGACGTTCGAAATGTTATACACAACAAATAAATTAACTAAATGTCACTGTAATGAAAACAACAGTAATTCTATGAATTATGATTATATATACTTAGGTGATACCAAAACTAATGACATTTACATATTATATTCTATCAAAAAGAGTGAATTGAGTTTTTAACTTATTAAATATTTGAACTAACGTACATTTCAGAGTATGTTTATAAAAGTTTTCGATCGAATAACACTATTGAGTTCGGAGTTTCACCACTACTAATACTTTTTCTTTGCCTATTTTCATATTAACCGAACCTCAAATTATACAATCTTATAGTCCAAACTAGCCAGTGTACGTAGTAAAACTGTCAAATTTTCATGTTCATTTTCTGAAACTCTTTTTTTTAACGAGATCATGTGAATATTTCTTTATTGAAAGCATATTATGGTACCACAGGCAACATGGTAGACATTAGGTAAAAAAAATCATTTTCGTTTGTGAAAAATAAAAAGAATTGGATAATAAATCATATATAGTCTGAAACGAGGACTTTTGTTTTATCAATTTATAAGAAAAGTTTTCTTTTTGAAAAAAAAATTATTCTTTGTACGGTAAGTGTTTTTCGAAAAGACATCTTCAGAAAAGTTAGTAGAGATTTTTTTCCACTAATCCGATATCAATGAAATTTTTAGAGAATATTCTTCTATATTTGCTATGTACACTCAGTTAGCGCGAATAATTTTGAAATAAGATACAGGATTTCTAAAATCTTGCTTTTTAAAACTTTTTTCGTATTTTCTTTGTTACAGGAGCACTTTGTGAGAAAAATTGCATCGAATGATGCTCAAATTTTAAAATAATTTTTTTTTCAAAGGAGTTTAGAGTAAGGATCCATCTCAGGAATTTTCCATCGCAAATGGTCTTCTGTTCATCAATCTTACTTTTTAGTATAAGAAGCTAATATTTCTATGAAAGAAATTGGTTTCTGAAAGAAAATAAGTTATGTTCATATGTTTGATAGAAATTGTCTACTATGCATAAAGTCACATCATAGCTCTAATGTAGCATATTCTGAAGAAATTCTTTAGATTCTTGATATAATAAAACTATTTCGTGGTCATAGGATCTAATTAATGCAATGTTCATTCGCATGGGTCGTACATGAAGAGGTTTTTCTAAAATAGGAACATTGTCGGTACAATCTCGTTGTATAGTAATTAAAAAGTTTTTTCGCCCTTGAACATTTGCTAGAAATTTAAAACGATTTTTTTCTCACAAAGTAGTACATTTATAATCGAAGAAAACATATCTTCAGGTATAGATGTTGATGTTTGTTTTACAAAATACTATTTCTGAGTTTGAGAACACATTTCTTTTCGCAAAAAATATTCAAAGACATTGTGAAAAACCGACACAAAAGAAAAACAATAGATGTGTGTGTACTCAACTGCTATTTTTTCTTTGAACTGTTTCTTCGTCGACAACCGTATTTATTCAAGCTAGATTTGCACTAATAGCTATGCAAGTGGTGCATCTCAGTGTGACCGAATTCAATCAATGCTATTCATATTTCAACATAAGCACTGACTTAAACAAGTTTGACAACAATAAAAAATTACTGTTCTTTTTTCAGTTATTTAGTTGTTAGTGGCAGATTTTATTCTTTAGGGAGAAGAGTGCTATTGAATATTGTACCGAGATGTTGGCTGTATTGTTCTAAGAACATTATTCTTACCAGCGATTATCTTTCGACTACCAGAAAAAAAAATGTGACTATTTTTGAGAAACTTAATACAATACCTCGAATCTTCTAATGTATTGAGAGCTTTAGCGTATGCAGGAAATTTTTTTCGTTAGTATTTCATGAAAATTGATCAAAATAGCTAATAAAAAAGAGTCGTGAAAAATGTCTTCGAATCTGGTAAGTGGTTATTCAGCCATTTGCCATGACCACTTAATTCCGGAATGAATATTAGTTGACATGCTTATGATAGAGTACATGAAGTCATTACTCAAAATACTAAGAGTCAGTTGCTAAAAAATTTTAGTTTTTGAAATGAGTCTGCTAGTTTAAAAGACCATAAAAAGTGACTCAGAAATCCTACTATTGACAATACAACGGCAATGTCTTCTAATACTTCGACAACCGAACAATTTTGACCCAAAATATAAACTAAACAGATCAATGTATTGTTTTAAGAAGTTTTACTAGTATACTAGCAGCTATAGGCTGCAATCTGACGAAAACCAGATGATTCTAAGATAAAATTATCCTAGTTGAATAATTTTGAAACCTACTATATACACTGATAGTCCAAACAGTGCTGTATAATATAATAATAGTTCCCCATTCTTCAGTTCGTTTGATAATCGAAGTATTTCGATCAAAGCTGTTCGTCCTTT